GGGGAGCGGCGGCGCGGCCCGCTGGGTCCGGCTGAACGTGGGCGGCACCTACTTCGTGACCACCAGGCAGACCCTCGGCCGGGAGCCCAAGTCTTTCCTCTGCCGCCTCTGCTGCCAGGAGGACCCGGAGCTGGACTCGGACAAGGTGCGCCCCGCCCTCGGGCCCGTGGATCCCCTGGTTCCTCCTAGGCGCGTCTCTTTATGGGCAGACTCAACTCCGCAGGCTGGAACCGCATCCCCCAGGTCCCTCGCCGGCAGCGGGAGCTTGAGAAAGCCCCCTCCTCGGCCGCCCCGTCCCCGGGCACACCCTGGGTTTCCCTCGGACCCAGTCCTGCGTTCCCGGGGCTCCTTCCTCACGCTCCCCACCCCACACCCCTGTCCCACATTGTGTGCTCCGCTCATCCTTCTCGTTGCCAGTGCCATATACGTCCAGAACCGGGTCAGAGTGAGCCACGGTACCTTTGCGGCTTCCTCAGACTTCCTGTGAGAATCCTGTGCGGAGTTGGGGGAAGCCTGGGTCTGACGGTGGCTTCCACCACTGCAGAGAATGCTTGTTGCGATGTCACTGCTTTCCGAAAATCCCGGTCCCAGACCTTATATCTGGTAACAGTCATTGCTTAGGTCTATATTTGAGATCAAATGCATTCCATGGGGAAAAAGTTACATTTGCCAGTGCAGATCTAGGCTAACCACTTAAGACTAAGGAAAAATAGAGACCGAGGAATGCTACTGGGCAGGGTGCATGGTTGCTAACCGTAGAGATGAGGTGAGAAGACACCCGTTTTCCAGTTTGAACTGTTTGAATTTTTTTTTTTTTAAACTTTTACAGGATCCTTTCAGTTTCCAACTTAAGGGCACTGACCACAGCTTTGACCACCTTGTGTCCCACACAGCACCCAGCTGGTTACATTGCAACGGAGTTGGAGTTGCATAAACATTTGTTGATTTCATCTCTTCTCTACTAAACTCAAATTGATGGAAACCTCCCCTAATTTTAAAGAGATGCCAAAATGCTTGCTTATAAGGAATTATTTTTATATACTCTTTAAGTTTTCCTTATGTCTATATAAGCCAGTGTCTTCCTGTTCCTTTTACTGTAAAGATGAGTAGGATTAAAGCTGTTCAGAGCCAAGTCCTGGCAGTACCAGGCTTCCTCTGGGCACAGAGCTGGGGGGTGTGAGATTACAGCTGGCATTGCAGACTCCCACTGATGTTGGCCTTGAGCTCAGGAGCGTTGCCAGCTGAATAGAGGTTTTCTCAGAATTAGGAATGTCGTTCAGGGGCAGTGGAGAAGTCAGTATGTCCATATCAAGCAAGGATTTAAATCATGAATCGATAGCTTTTTTTCTCCTTTTCCTTTCTTGTAACCAGTGTCCCACAGAAGAAATGTTCAGAGGATGGGCATGACTGCATCTGTGAGGGCAACCTGAAATGATCCAGAGCAGAGGGTGCTTAGGGCTAGCCTTCTTGCCAGTAGTTTTCAGTAAACAAATGTCTAGCAAAACTCGTCCTCACTAAAATGTTTGTAGCTGGGGCTGGGGATTTAGCTCAGCGGCACAGCGCCTGCCTGGCAAGCGCAATGTCATGAGTTCAATTCCTGGTACCGGAAAAAAAAAAAAAAAAATGTTTGTAGTTGACAGAATGCTAACAAAAGGGGGAAGCCCTCTTAGTTTAAACATGCTTCTGAGCACGCCATAATGATACCCTTGTGCTTGGTTGGCAGGATGAGACAGGAGCCTATCTGATTGACAGAGACCCTACCTACTTTGGTCCTATCTTAAACTACCTCCGCCATGGGAAACTCATCATTACCAAGGAGTTGGCAGAAGAAGGTAACAGCTCTGTTGGCACTGGACATTTCAAATTTCAGGTTACTTAGAGCTCTTCCACGGACTTGAGTTTAGAGATTTTCACTGGGCTGGTGTTCTGGCATGCTACAGGCTAATGAAAATGAGCAGAAAGCCTCCAGTTGCCTAGTCTTGTCTGAGAGAGCCCGGTTGAAGAAAGCCCCCTAGGCCTCTCTTCAGCTTTCTTACTGAAAAGGAAGGTAGGTAGCTCAGCTTTGTGAATAGTTTTAGGAGTTTTTTCCTGACCTGCAGAATTGCTGCAATCATTTTTAAACATTTATTTGTACGTTACAGTGAATGTCTATTGCCTGAAACAGTACACGTCTAACATTCAGTTATTTATATTTTCAGTTTTAGCTTGAACTTGCAGCTGTAAAAAAAAAATTAGTAATGATAAAGGATTGGCCTCGTTTCTTTTTAAGACTCTGGTCTCATGCTTCCCTGTAATTTTTACTGCTGACCTAATTCATTCTCCAGCTCATTGTCAGGTGTATTATTGGTTGTCTCATCTTTTTGGTTTGTAGGGCACTTGGATTTAAGTAGTCCTCTTGCGGAAAGGCTTGGCTTGGTCTCACTGGAGGCATTCAGTGGAAGATTGGGGCTCTTTCCTAAAATCTGGGGTAACTTCATTTGGGTGCCTTAGCTCTGAGCAAGAAAGCTTGCAGTGGCTGTGCTTGTTACTGTGGTGACTACAAACCAGTTCTCTTCCAACCAATAAAAGGAGGAATTGTGCTCGCTCTCACTCTCTTGCTCTTTTTTTTTTTTTTTTTTTTTTTTAACGGGTTAGGGACATTTGGGAAACACATTTTTAAAATCCTTTAAAAAAGTAATAAATTCATACATAAGTAATGAGAGTGATACAAGCTCCGTGCACCCTTCAAACAGATTCAGCAACTACAAACTCATGAGTAACCTTCTCTGATGAATTTTTTTTGTTTGTCTTTTTGAGACAGGGTCTCGCTGTGCAGTTCAGGCTGGCCTTGACCTCACTTTGTAGCTCAGGCTGGCCTCAAACTCGCGACCATCCTTCTGCCTCAGCCTCCCAAGTGCTGGGATTGCAGGCATGCACCACCATGCCTGGCTTTGATGAATGTTTTCAATTAAAAAAACACTGTTTTGAAATAATTCTAGACTTAGAGGAAAGGGCAAGAATAGTGCAAAAAACTCTTTAACAAGATTTACCAATTCTTAACATTTTTTGCCATATTTATGTTTTCATTTTTTGTCCCTCTTTTTTCTCTCATCCTTCCTTCCTCCTTCCTTTCCTCCTTCCTCCCCCTATAGTTTCTATTTCTGAGCACTTTGAGACTAGTTTGCAAACTTTGCTCCTTAATATTTTTGTATGTCTTTCCAAGAAAAGGATGTTCTTATGTTACCCTACTATCAAAGCGAGAGAATTTAAAACTGTTAGCTATGTTTAGCTGTAGCTTATATTACAGTCTTATCAATTGGATTTGTTTGGTTTTTTTGAGACCGGGTCTCATTATGCAGTCTACCCTGGCCTTGAATTCACTGTAGTCCAGGCTGGCCTCGAATTCGCACTGATCCTCCTGCCTCAGCCTCCTGAGTGCTAGGATTACAGGCGTGCACCACCATGCCTGGCTCAGTTGTTCTAATAATGGCCATTTCAGCAATATTTTTTCCTGGTACAGGACCACAAATGCCATGGTGTCCTAAGGCCTTCGATTTTGTGTAGCATGAGAGTCTTTCAGTGATTGCCTTTTGTGTTCTTCAAGTAATAAACATTCTATTAAATTTGATCCATACAAATTTACACACATACACCTATCCACCGGTCCTTTTTAGGGTGAATTGGGTAGGAATTAATAAGCACAGGAGGTGTCCAGTAGTTCAGAACTAGGTGACATATGGGGAAAGTGTCCTGCTGCTAATGGGCAGGTGCTGCGAGGAAGCAGGCAGGGTTGAACAGTGAGCAGAGCAGGCCTGGTGCTTGACTCACTCTCGTGGAGGAAAAGGTCCTTGGTGCACCCTAACAGCAAAGAGATACTTCCTAAATTCCCTAGGCTAGATTTGTACTTGAAAAATGCAGCTTTTAGTAAGCCTCCTCTTGCTGTTTTTCTGGTGAGCTCACACGTCTCTGACTGCAGTCTGGTCCTTGTTGTAGGCGTGCTGGAAGAAGCAGAGTTTTACAACATCGCGTCTCTCGTGCGACTGGTTAAGGAAAGGATACGAGACAATGAGAACAGAACTTCACAAGTAAGGTGTTTTGAACTGTTAAGGGGAAAACCATGTGACAGGTGTGATTTGAAAAGGGTGCCTGTCTCCTCAGAACGGGAGGTCCAGGCTCAACCACAGTTGTTCAGGAGGAGGAAATAGACAAGGAGAAATAACAAAACAGATCAACCCTGTATTCTTTTAAAAGAAAGAGATTGTCATCACTCACCACATGGCAGTGGCAGGAGCCCAGGATCCAAAGCATGTGCTCTGACCCAGTGGCCGTCTCCCTCAACATGAAGCTCAAACAAGGTCTTGCTTCCACCTGTTCGCTGCCATTTATTAGGGCAGCCTCTTAACATGTGATCTTGTCTCTTTTTTTTCTTTTTTTTCTTTTTGAGACAGGGTCTTACTATGCAGTTGAGGCTGGTCTTGAACTTGCAGTGATCCTCCTGCCTCAGCCTCCTGAGTGCTGGGATTACAGGTGTGCGCCACTACACCCGGCTAGCATGTGATCTTGTCACATCCAGGTCCTGAGAGCCATTTGAAACCAGCTGTGAATCATGCTTCTGAGAGAGCTGTATCAAGCTTCTCTTTTTATTACAGTGTCTGGATTTTGATATTAACAATGTCTCACCTTGTTTGAGGGAAGGAAAGATGATAGGGCCTACTTAGCTTGTTTTACATATTATTCATCATGTGTTTGAATGGCTGCTGTCTTTTAAGCCCTTGGGGTCTCTGAGTAACAGGAAAATATCCTTGCCTCCAGGAACCTTGAAGTATAGCAGAAAAAGAAACCTTCCCTTTCCTGTGTTTAAGAAAGAGCAATTCCTAGCCAGTCAGAGTGGCCCACACCTGTAATTCCAGCACTCTAGAAGGCTAAAGCAGGAAGATCCTAAGTTCAAGACCATCCTGGACAATCTAGCAACTTAGTTAAGTCTCTCTCAAAAAATGTGGGAGTCGGGCTGGGGTTGTAGCTCAGTGTAAAGGCCTTGGGTTCAGTGCTTAGTACTGAAAACCAAACCAAGCAAAAAAGACCTCAGAGCTGAAGTAACTAAGGACAGAGCTGTGCTCCACTATGGTCATTGTCTTGTCACAGTTGCCTCTTATCCCACCAGGTTCTGGTGGTGGATTTTTTTTTAAATGTCTTTTCTATTTTTTCCTCCATTTTTTTTCCCGGTACTGGGAATCAAACTCACGACCTTGCACTTGCCAGGCAGGCGCTGTGCTGCTGAGCTAAATCCCCAGCCCCCTTAATGTCTTTTTGAGACAGAGTCTTGCTATGCAGTTCAGCCTGGCCTTGAACTCACTTTGTAGCCCAGGCTGTCCTCGAAGTCAGAATGATCCTCCCGCCTCAGCCTCCCGAGTGCTAGGATTACAGGCGTGGGCCACCATGCCCAAGTGGTGGATGCTTTCTTTACTTTGTTGAAGCAATAGTTTCTCTTTAGAAGTGAAAATAGTACTTTGCCCTTTCTCTGTTGGACTTCATATATCAATGTGTTTTGGCTTGGAACGGAATATGTGGGTGAAAAACTAACATCACAAAAAAATGATGCCTTCTATCCACGTTAGCTTTTTTTTTTTTTTTTTTAACATTAGCTTCATAAAGCTGGATGTGGTGGCACACGCCTGTAATCCCAGCAGTTAGGAGGCTGAGGCAGGAGGATCGGTGTGAGTTCAAGACCAGCCTGGGCTACAGAATGAGCTCAAGGCCAACCTGAACTGCATAGCAAGACCCTGTTTCAAAAATAAAAAAAAAAATTAGCCTCTTGCAAAGGTGGAAAGAGGCCTTATTCTAGAGCCAGGCATGGTGGCACACTCCTGGAATCCCAGGCAGGAGGATCACTGCTAGTTCGAGGCCAGCCTGAACTACATAGCAGGACTCTGTCTCAGAAAACCAAAACAAAAAGAAAGAGGACTTATTCTGGCTGGCTGCTATAAGGTTCCTTTTTGATGTTCAAAGGTGAATTTGTAGATTGTGAAACATGATCTGGTAGGATCTGACATATGCTAGGATTGCCAGTCTTTACCATTTTATATTTCATGACATCTTTTACTGTTGTAGATGTTAAATATCTTACATGTTTTGGAAATGTTTTATCCTAAATTTTCTACTTTTTTTAAAAGAAATAAATAGTAGAAATTTTCATGGTACTATGAGTTATGTAATTTGAAACCATTCAAGTCATGGTACCTGAACATTCTCTGTTGTTTGCCATCAGCTGATTCCTTGAAAATATGTAATATTTCTATTCAGTGACCATAAATAAGTTAATTAGTCCTCCACCAAAGGCTTGTGGAGTTATACCCAGCTGGAAGCTTTTTGTTCTAGGAATGTCAAGACCTTTTCGATGTTCATTGATCTTTCCATCTGTCTCTCACTGTGAAACTCTGTGAAATGGATTTGATGTTTAAAGACAACCTCTTTTGCCCTTGTTCCACATGGTTCTGAGATGAAGTTGGCTTTGTGTGGATTTCCAAATGTTGTCTCCTTTAACAAGTAAAGCCCAAGATGTGGGGATCTTAATCCAGCTTTGTTGTCATGGCCTCTTATCTTTTAGTGGCTGTCATCATCCTAACTACTTTGCTGTCTCTGATAACCTTTTTTATTTATTTATTTATGCCCCTTTGAGACAGAGTTTCACTCTACAGTTCAGGCTAGCGTTGAAGTCCTTTGTAGCTCAGGCTGGTCTCGCACTTGCAGTGATCCTCCTGCCTCAGCCTCCTAAGTGCTGGGATTACAGGCATGTGTCACCATGCCCAGCCCACCTTTTTTTATTTTTGAGATAGGGTCTTACTATTACATAGTTCAGGCTGGCCTTGAGCTCACTTACGTAGTCCAGACTGACCTTGAATTTATGGTGATCCTCCTGCCTCAGCCTCCTGAGTGCTGGGGTTGCAAGCGTACACCAGCACGCCAGACAAAAATCAAATATTTACTTTTTATTATATATACTTCTGACACAGGAATGGTCCTATTTAATGCTAAAACACTCACAGGTATCATCAGAGAGGATAAAAATAACTTTAATGTTATGGGATTCCAGTTTAACATATTAATTTAATATATTATTAATATAGTGTTCCTGTAATCATTTCTTCCTGTCCAATTAAACCAAAGGAGGGGGCATACATTTTTCGTATACACATCACATATAAATCACATTAGGAAAAAATGTGACTTCCTTCTGCAAAGTAATTGAGGAAATGGATGAAATACCTGGTTTGTCACATGGTTTCTCACATAATGTGTCCCTCTGAGTTGAGAATTACCTTTTTTTTTTGTTTTTTTTTTTTCTTTGAGACAGGGTCTCCTTAAGGGGTTCAGGTCAGCCTTGAGCTCTCTATGTAGCCCTACACTGGTCTCCAACTCTTGGTGATCCTCCTGCCTCAGGCTCCCAAGTGCTGGGATTACAGGTGTATGCCACCACACCTGGCCCCCTTGGGTAATTTTTACTAGGGAAACCACAGTGCTGCTTATAAAGGAGGTAGTGGGATGGCGGAGCCCTGAAGCCGGTGCTCCTGTGGCCTCCTTGCTGCTGCTCTTCCCAGTCACTCTGATCGTTGCAGGGTCCCGTGAAGCACGTGTACAGAGTCCTGCAGTGTCAAGAGGAGGAGCTCACGCAGATGGTCTCTACCATGTCTGATGGCTGGAAATTTGAACAGGTATGTTTCTCACAGAGCGGAACCCGGGGCCTCATCCCAGGGCCACAGCTCCTTGAACAATCATCCAGCCAGTTAATAGCCCTAGAAGGTGAGTAGGAGGTGCCAAATGTGATCCATTTCCAAATCGTTGGGAAAGAGAGCTGCTCGATCCACAGTACTTGCCCAGCGGTATGTGATGGGTTGGGGAGAGTTGGGAGGAGAACCACTTCTGCCAGCCTCCAGTCTATAGTTTGAATGCAGCAGTGCCCAGAGAGCCGGCCAGCTTGTCTAGGCTTAAAGAGCCTCACTTTGGTTTTCAGAAGTGTTCTGTTGACGACATGTTCTACAGTGGGTCCTTAGAGAGAACTAGGATTCAGCATGCAGCCTTTCTTCTCACAGGGTCAGAACTTAATAATTCTGAGCGTCTGCATAATCTCCTATAACTGTCTGGTGATTAGATACGCTGTGAAGGGATCAGATGAAGTGAAAAGTGGTTGGTCATCTCGCATCCTCTCCATTTCAGTTCGTTTAGTCTTGTGCTTAAGCTTGAGATCAGAACAGAGCTACCCAGAGTCCCAGTTTGATTGTGCCATGAGATGGCAGAATTGTTCAATTCTTTTGTTGCCATTAGCCCCTGGGAAAGCTAGGGGTAAACAGAGGGAACCTGGTTTTATGTGGAGTGTTGCCTACTCCTACATACACTTGAAGAAGCCAGCTGAGCCAGCAGGGGAAGCTTGCCTTCTAAAGTAACGTTACAGTTTGTATTTATGGATCAGCTTATAGATCACAATTAAAGCTGCCTCTGTTGCTGGAGCCAGTGCTGGATCATTCCTCATACTTGTCTTCCACTACAGAATCAGTCCTGCCGGCAACCTAGTTCTCTTTCATGTGTGGGTGGCAGAATGTGCCCAGGGTTTATTGTCCTGTACTCCAGAAGGATCCTTCCCTGATAGAGTCTTAAGCAAAGGATGTCACTTATTTAAAAAAAATAAATGAGTATGCTCTATAAAACCAGTGTGTAGTTTCTTTTGTTGCTTTCTCATCTTGTTAATGTCCTGTGGAAGGCCAAAGTCTGTTCTCGTTGCCTTTGTGGTACAGATGAGGAAGCTGGGTACAGAGGGCTGAGGAGCCCCCTCCCCAGGCAGCCAGCAGTGGTCTTGTAAGGACAGCCTCACCCTCAGCTCAGCTTCTTTTTCTGTATGTGTTGCCTATTTAGAATTAGTAATGAGCACAGGTCTCTCAAAGGGTTCAAAGTGCCCTCAGCAGACAGCTTTTGATAGCTGTGCAGTGCTGTTCTCTGCAGTGCTGTTCTGTGGGGCACTCCAGGTCCTTCTGTGTTGTGGTCTTCTGTTTAGGAGCCCTGCTCACAGATGACCTACCACTGTGTTTTGGCCGAAGCAAATGTGTGTTTTCATTCGCAGAAACATTTTGTGGTACTTATCTTTATTTTATTATTTTTGTTGTTTTCTGTTTTTTTGGTATCGGGAATTGAACTCAGGACCTTGTACTTGCCAGGCAGGTGCTGTGCCACCCAGCTATGTCCCTGGCCCCTATAGTATTCACCTTTAACAGAGGGAGATGGCCAGGGATATAGCTCAGTGGCACAGTGCCTGCCTGGTTATAAGTTAATAAGCGCGAGGTTATGAGTTCAATTCCTGTACCAAAAAAACAGGGAGAGTGATCGAACAAGTGCTTGGGTGAGAGGACGGTAGCAGGACTCAGACTTTCATGGTAAAGCTTACTGACAGTGTCCTGATGGGTAACTGAGATCCAGCTGTTCCCTAGGACCTTGGTAATCTCAGGGAATTCTTCATCCTTTGAGAAGTAAAAGTATAAATTCCAGACAGGAGGAAAGTGTGATTTGTGTGACACTTGAGATTTGAAGATTGCTACTTGTATGGTCACCATTTTCTTCTTTTGCCAGCTAATCAGCATTGGATCCTCGTATAACTATGGAAATGAGGACCAGGCAGAATTCCTCTGTGTCGTCTCCAGAGAATTAAATAATTCTACCAACGGCATTGTCATAGAGCCGAGTGAAAAGGCAAAGGTAAGAAACTACTTTGGCCAGGTGTAGAGGCACGTGTAGTCCCAGCACTTGGGAGCCTATTGCAGAAGGATCCCCATGAGTTCAAGGCAACCCTGTGCTGTGTAGGAAGACCTTGTCTCAGAAAACCAAAAAAAAGAAAGAAAAGAAATTGCTTGGCTGGGTTGCACTTCTGGCTCATTTGTGTCCAGGCCCCTTCAGTGTTGCCCTAAGTGGTGCCCATCTTCCCCTCCCTTCCTCATCCAGCTTTGTGTTTCCCCACCTTGCATGTTTTTACTGCTGGATTTAAATCACCACTTAGGGAACAGTGACAGAGCTTTATTGGTTAGGAAATGTGAATGTGGAAAAGGTGGTTTTTCCAGCCTCTGTCAAGTCAGTAAAAAAAAAAAAAGGTGAGCTGAGAATGTAGCTCGGTGGTACAGCGCTTACCTATCATGTGTGAGGTCCTAGGTTCAATCTCTAGTACCTCCCCGACCTCCACACAGTTACCTGCTTTCCCTCTTTTGAGTGCTCCAAATACCTACCCACATGCATATGCAACAGACACACTTCAGAACCACCAGTGTGTGGTGAGCTTGCAGCATTTCCTTTAGGAAGATAAAGTAGCTGAGTATATTTGGAGGTTTTTTTGCATTGTAATCTGTTCCATTCATCCTCACTTGTGCAACCCAGCCAAGCAGTTTCTTTTCTTTCTTTTTTTTGGTTTTCTGAGACAAGGTCTTCCTATACAGCACAGGGTTGCCTTGAACTCATGCCAGTATTATGCTGTTTCTATCACAGTAGCTTTATAGTATAATTTCAGGTTGGGGCCTGTGATGGCTCCTGCCTTGCCTTTGTTGCCCAGAATTGCCTTTGCTATTCTAGGACTCTTCTGGTTCCAAATGAATTTTAGGATTTTTTTTCTCTAATTCTGTGAGATACACTGTTGGAATTTTGATCAGGATTGCATTAAATCTGTATAACAATTTTAGAAGTGTGGCCATTTTCACTATGTTAGTTCTTCCTACCCAACAGCAAGGGATAGCTTTCCATTTTCTGATATCCTCTTCAATCTCCTTTTTCAGACTACTGTAGTTTCCAATGTGGAGGTGTTTTATTTCCTTTGTTAGATTAATCCCTAGGCATTTCATTTTTGTGGATGCTCTTGTGAAAGGTTGTTTCCCTAATTTTTCTCTCAGTGAGTTTGTTATTTGTGTACAGGATGCTGTTGATTTTTGAGCGATGACTTTGTATCCAGCTATGCTACTAAATTTGGTTATTAAATCTAGAGGTCTTTTGGTGGAGTTTTTGGAGTCTTCTATGAGCAATATCATGTCACCTCCAAATAATGTTAACTTAATTTCTTCCTTTCCTATCATTTCTTTTATTTCTTTCTCTTGTCTAATTGCTCTAGCTAATGTTTACAGAACTATATTGAATAAGAGTGGTGATAGTGGACATCCCTGTCTTGTTCTTGATTTTATAGTGAAAGCTATCAGTGTTCCTCTATTTAGTAGGGTGTTAGCTATTGGTTTGTCATAGATGGCTTTTATCAGATTGAGATAAAAACCATCCAAGTTTTCTCTAGGGTCTTTATCATGAATGGGTGTTGGACTTTTTCTGCATTGGTTGAGATGATCATATGGTTTTTGTCCTTGACTCTGTCAATATGATGTATTAAATTTATTGATTTGCATATCTTGAACCACCCCTGTACCCCTGGGATGAATCCTACTTGGTTATAATCTTCTTGATGTATAATCTTCTTGATGATTTGTTAACATCTGTGTTCATTAGGGATACTGGCCTATAGTTCTCTTTTTTGGTTGGGTCTTTCTCTGGTTTTGGTATCATGGTAATGCTTACTTCCAGGAATGAATTTGAGAGTATGTATTGCTTCCCTTTCAATTTCATTAAAGAGTTTGAAAAGTGGCAGTATTAGGTCTGCTCTAAATTTCTTGTATAATTGAGTGAATCCATCAGGGTCTGGGTTCTTCTTTGTTGGTAAATTTTTAGTTATATCATCTTCAGTTTCATTGACTGATTGATTTATATCTTCTTGATTTAGGTTTGGTAACTCATCTGTATGTAGGAATCTGTCTTATTTCTTCTGCGTTTTCCATCTTATTAGAGTACATTTTCTCAGAGTAGCTATTGATGACCTTTTAGGTTTCTCCAGGATCTGTTGCTGTTTCACCCTTTTCATTCCTAATTGCATGGATTTGAGTCTTGTTTCCCCTTTTTTTTTTTTTTCATAAAATTGGCTAAGGGTTTATCAATTTTATTTCATCTTTCAAAGAACCAACTGTTTTATTCATTGATCCTGTGTATTCTTTTCTTAGTCTTCATTGCATTAATTTCTGCTCTGATCTTTATAATTTCCTCTATCATAAGAGTTTCAGGCTTCACTTCTTTTTCTAGAAGCGGGAGGTTAAATATTAGGTTGTTTATTTGAACTTGCTCAGTTTTTCTGGTATGAAATTCATCATTATAAATTTTCCTTGTAGGACTGCTTTCATTGCATCCCTTAAGTTCCAATATGTTGTACTATCATCATTGTTTAATTGTAGAAACTGTCTTATTTCTTCTTTAATTTCATTTGTGACCCATTGGTTGTTCAGGCGGGTGCTATTGAATTTCCATGTGTTTATGAAGTTCTTGTGGTTTGTTTTGGGTTTTTTGTTGTTGTTGTTGTTTTTTGAGACAGAGTCTCAATATGCAGCTCAGGCTGGCCTTGAGCTCACTCTGTAGCCCAGGCTGGTCTCAAACTCACAACGATCCTCCTACTTCAGTCTCCCGAGTGCTGGGATTGCAGGTGTGCACCACCATGCCCGGCTTTGTGGTTTGTTTTGCCATTGATTTCCAGTATCATTTGCACTATGGTTTGAAAATATGCATGGGATAATTTCAGTTCCTTTGCATTTACTTAATCATGTTCTATGAGCTAGTATGTGGTCTCTTTTAGAAAGTATCCCCCGTAGCAGACATGAATGTGTATTCTGATGTTGTGGGATGGAATACTTTATAAACATATACTAAATTCATTTGTTCAGAAGTTTGGTTCAGTTCTGGTATTTCTTTGCTGATTTTTTTTTTTGTCCAGTTGATCTTTTTGTGACAGTGGGTTTTTGAGCCCTCCCCCATTACAGTTGTATTAGTGCTTATTTGATTTTTCATGTCCACTAATATTTATTTTATATAGTTGATGCATTATATGCACCTTATATATTTGGTGCATACGTACTTATTATTGTTATCTCTTCCTCTTGGATTGTTTCCTTGACAAGGGTATACTGACCTTCTTTGTCTCTCTTAATCAGTCTTGGCTCAAAATCCTCTTTGTCTGCAAATAGAATAGCTACCCCTGCTTTTTTCTGGGTTCCTGTCACATGGAGTATTGTTTTCCTCCTTTGACTTTCAATCTATGAATTTCTTTTGGAATTAAATGTGTTTCTTATGTGCAGCATATTGTTGGATCTTGCTTCTTGATCCATTCTGCCAGTCTCTTTCTTCTGATTAGTGAATTAAAACCATTTACATTAATGGTTATAACTGGTATGTATTGACTTATCCTTGTCATGTTGTTTTCCTGTTGGTGGCTCCCCCCTTCTTTTCCCCTTCCTCTGTTTAATTGTTTGCCTTGCCTGGTGAATTCATTCTGTTGAGGTTCATGGAGTTGTAATCCTTGTCACCTCTTCCTAGAATGTGCTTCAGAACCTTTTGGGTGCTGGTTTGGTCATCATGAATTTCTTTTTTTTGGTCTTTTTTGAGACAGGGTCTCGATATGGAGCCCAGGCTGGCCTTGAGCTCACTTTGTAGCCCAGGCTGGCCTCGAACTTGCAAGGATCCTCCTGCCTCAGCCTCCCGAGTGCTGGGATTATAGGCGTGCGCCACCACACCCGGCTTTGGTCATCATGAATTTCTTCAGGTGTTCTTTGTCAGGGAAGTACCTTATTTGTCCATCTTATTTGAAAGATAGTTTTGCAGGATACATCAGTCTGGGTTTGAGGTTGTTGCTATGGGTCTTGCTATGTAGTGCAGGCTTGCCTTAAACTCACTTATGTAGCCAGGCTGGCCTTGAACTCACAGCAATTATCCTACCTTATATCCACTGTGCTGGGCTTGAACTTTCAATTCTCTTACTTAAAACTCTCCTTGACTTGAGGGTTTGTGTTGAGAAGTCTGCTGTGGTTCTAATGGGTTTTCCTTTATATGTCATTTGTTTCTTTTCTCTAACAGCTTTTAATGTTCTGTTTTTGTGTTGAGTTTCTGGAGTCTTGACTACTATATACCTTACTGTAGATTTTTTTTTGATCATGGCTGATTGGAGTTCTGTTTTTGGTTTTTTTTTTAAAGTTCACTGTTTAGGTTTTTTGTTTTGTTTTGGTTTGTTTTTTGTTTTTTTTTCCAGTACCAGGAATCGAACTCACGACCTTGCACTTGCCAGGCAGGCGCTGTGCTGCTGAGCTAAATCCCCAGCCCCGGATTGGGGTTCTGTATGCCTCATTTACATGTATGTCAAATTCTTTTTCCCTTCTTGGGATTTTTTTCTGCCTTTATTTCTTTTTTTGTTTGTTTGTTTTTTGTTTTTCTCCGGTACCAGAAACTGAACTCACGACCTTGCGCTTGCCAGGCAGGCGCTTTGCCACTGAGCTAAATCCCCAGCCCCTCTGCCTTTATTTCTGTTAACAGGTTTTTTATGTCATTTGTATTCTCTTGCTTTTTCATTGACTCCAGTCAGTCTGACATTATTCTTCTTTGCATATCTAGCAGTGGTGGATTGATTTTTCTTGGTCTTTTGCTATTTTGGTTTTGGTGGTGTTTTTTTTTTTTTTTTTTTTTTTTTTTTTTTGTCTTTTTGAGACAGGGTCTCACTATGGAGTTCAGAATGGCCTTGAACTCACTTTTTTTTTTTTTTTTTTGGTATCGGAAATTGAACTCAGGACCTTGCACTTGCCAGGCGGGTACTTATGCCCCTAAGCTAAATCCCCGGCCCTCTCATATGCTATTTTGAAGAAGTATTTCTTTTAATGATCTCTAACTGCAATCCTGTCTTCTATTTTTGAGATTCTGTCCTCACTTTGGCTCATTCAGCTGTGTATACTTTCAGTGGAATTTTTAATCTCCTGGATATCTGTTTGAATCTGCTTTATGGATTCCATTTCTTTCTTATTTTAGACATTCATGGTTTCTGTCATTTTCTTAAGCTCCTCTATTTTTTTTTATCTGTATCTTCTCTAGAGTCACCAACATGTCTTCCATTTTGGTTACCATCTCTGTAGTTATCTGAGAAATTATTTATGTATTTTTATTTTTATTTTTTTTTCCGGTACTGGGAATTGAACTCACGACCTTTGAGAAATTATTTATGATTTGACATTTTTCTAGAGTTTCATTCATCTGCTTTGTTACTTCTGTTCTTACCACTTCTGAGAGTACAAATGGATAGCTTCCAAATTGTCCTACCTCATTGCTCCCTGGGTTTGCCTTTGGTGATATACAAGTCTGAGGTTGCATCTTGCCTAAGTGTCTTCTCATTTTCTATATTTTTAAAAGTTTAATTCCTAGATTGGTGCTTATATATTGTTATGGCATGTACCTTTATTGCCAGTCTTTAGAACCCTTAGAAAATGCTATTTCTGAGATGTCTTCCAGATGTAGCTGGCTTTTGGGTTTTGAGTCTGTTTTAAGACCCTATGTCTTAGGGATAAGAAGTTGCTACCTACTTGGCCCAGCCCCTGGTTCTTTGGAACTGGCATGTAGTATGTTTTTATGACCCTTACCCAATCCCAGTCTTGGAATACCAGGAAGAACAACTGGTTAGAACAATTACGTTGGGCTGGGGATATAGCTCAGCAGCACAGTGCCTGCTTGGCAAATGCAAAGTCCTGAGTTTGATTCCCAGTATCCCCCTCCCCACCCCACCCCCCAAAAAAAGAACAATTATGTCCTCTTGGGTAAAGTAGTACAATCAGCAACAATAATAGCCTCAAACAAAGTGTAGAAAATGACAAACTGAGATAACTCTTAATTTGCCACTTTTAACTGTGTGAACTAGATTTGTGGTTATGTAACAAAATCTAAAATGAACCAGAAAATGGTATACAGTAAATATGCCCTCATTATGGTGATTTTTACCATCAGCGGGGAAAATTTTAAAGGGGCTAAGGGGAAAAAATAGAGAAATAGAAGAAGATAAAATGATTATAAGCAAGGCTGACGGCATGTGTTGCTCAGGAAGAGGCTGAGGCAGGAGGATCACCGTGGGTTCAAGACCCTGTCTCAAAAAAAAACCAGCAAGGCTGGAGGATGAAGAAAGATTTCATAAACTTTGGGAAACTAGTGAAGAAGACAAGAGAAAGAGAGAAGGGAGAAATAAAAACAAGAACAGAACAGACCAACAACAAAACTAGAAATAGCATTCACATAAAAACAAGATCAAGAAAAAAGAAAACAGAAGAAAAACAAAAAAGAGAAAGAAAAACAGAAAATAAGACAAAAAAAGTGTCCGCTTTAAGGCATGTCTCTGCTGTCACTGGTGGACAACGTGGGCAGACAGAGTCCAGATCTGTGTTGATTAATCCCAGGAAGCCTGTACCTCTAGTTCCACTGAGTTTCAGGCTGTTTTCTGGCTGTGAGGCTGGCACCCAATTTGTTCAGCCTGCAACATTCCATATGCCTCCTGCCAGCTGGAACTCGGATCTCTGCCAGCTTTATCTCGGCTCCTTGACCTCTTGCCAACTTGAACTCAGCTCTCTTTCACCTTGAGACTAGCAGCCACTCGATAGACCTCGCCCTCAGCTGCTCTGACATCAGAGCTCAGTAGGCCCTTCCCCTAGATGGCTACTGGCCAGTCGCCCTCTCCCGGAGGGGCATCTGAACCTCAATAACTCACCAGCCACTGCAGTCTGTTTCATCCACTGCCTTGTTCCACAGGTGCATTTTTCTGTGGAGGCCTCTGGGGTGACTGGTAGCCGCCATACATACGCAGGTTTGAGCTGCCCCTCCTGTGTCACGAGTCAGAGCTCAGGGAGAAGGTGGTGCTTGCCACCTCTTCCTTCGTTGAGGCCTCTTTCTTCTGCCCATGGGCTTCATTTTCACCTCAGATCCTTGCTGGGTCCCATGGACCCACTTGCCTCCTCTTCCTCATCTTGCCATGTTCTAGCATCTGAACGCCAAGTCTCAGAGAGGCTGTTGCTCTGTTCCTCACCACTCTCCCATGTTCCCCAAAGTCCCAGATTTCAGGTTCTTCCTCTCTTGAACGAAGAATTGGATGAAATAAACAAAAAGCAGTGGCAAAGTTTATTTGAGAAAGTAACAGTGAAGAGTAGGAGAAAAACTATAGAGCAAACTTGGGCCAAATAAAGAGAAAAAGAGGATAAGAACAAAGGTAAATGTACACGCCGTGTCTGAGAAACCTTCTTGGGCTGTCATGGAAAGTAATGATAGCAGGTGAGGCTTTTTTGAAGTCATTTTTTCCCCTTTTTTGTGTGTGGTACTGGGAATTGAACTCAGGACTTTGTGCTTGCCAGGCAGGCACTTGTGCCACTGAGCTATATCCCCGGCCCTGAAATCAATTTGATGTTGTTGTTTTGTTTTGTTGTTTGGGACAGGATCTCACTATGTGTTACAGGCCTGCCTTGAACTCATTGTATAGCTGAAACTGGACTTGAATTCATGATGATCCTCCTGCCTCAGCCTCCCAAGTTCTGGGATTAAAGGGATGCACCACCACAACTGGCTTGAAATCAGTTTTTAGTCATTTTTGTGCTTTATTTTTAACTGAATTCTATTGTAATTAGATAATATAGTCTGATTTAAATCTTTTTTTCCCAGTACTGGAGGTTAAATCCAGACTTTTTTCACTGAGCTGTATCCCCACCCCCCTTTTTTGTGTTTTTTGTTTGTTTGGTTGGGTTTTTTTGGTACCGGAAATCAAACTCAGGACCTTGTGCTTGCCAGGCAGGCACTTGTGCCACTGAGCTATATCCCCGGCCCCAGCCCCAGCCCCAGCCCTCTTTTTTAAAACTTTGTATTTAGAGACAAGGTGGCACTAAGTTTCCTGTGCTGGGCTCAGATTTCCAATTCTGTTGCTTCAGCCTCCGACAGTGCTGGGATCACAGGCGTGTACCACCACCGCTGGCTTGGGTGGGGGTCAAAACCAGGGTCTTCCGTGTGCTCAGCATGTGCTATACCACTGAGCTGTGCCCCCATCCCCTGTGGGTCTTTCCTCCTCTCAGCAGTCTGCTCAGAAGTCTTAGGCTTCTCCCTTGTCCTCCACTTCCAGATTCTTCAGGAGAGAGGATCTCGAATGTAAGCTGAGAGTCTGAATTCCAGAATCCTGAAGGATAGGAGAGCGATCCAGCAGAGCAGCTCTGTGAAGTCTCGTGCCTGTACAGTAACTGAGCTACTGCAAAGCAGTGCTGAGCCTGGTCCCC